ATATATACCAGCATTATTTTTGCCTTAAAGCCATTGAGTGGTCCAGTTATTCATTGAAATTCTTTGTTTTTGCTTTTGTAAAGGGCAGGCCCGTCGTGGATGGATTGAAATATGGAACAGATTGTTGATTAAGAAGTGATTTTTGTTTGTGTTGTTAAAGAGAAAGTTTTTGTGTAGCTTATTATTAAAGTTTGATTACGCTGTATATAGACATGCTAAACTAAGCATCTGCATTGAACCACTGCCAATATTTACATTCCGTTTCTGTGATCCCCGCTTCTTGGTTTGAATAACCCATGCTACTCATTAAGAATTAAAACAGTTTTGCAAAAGTTAAAGTTTGATTCAGCTTATTTTTGGACAGCTGTTTCGACAACGTCAAATAAATCCATATCCATGCAAAGATGCCATGTTGGCTAATAATAAATTAGCTGTATAGAAATTGTGGTATTGTCGAACCCCAAAACTTCCTCTTATTTCATATATTGGGATCCATCTTTTTACTATCTTGTGTATTTATGATCTAGCTGCATTGTTAGCCCGTTTATTCCAGCCTGTGTAGAGGCTCAGCTTTAGTATACTTTACTGACAGTCATCTGTCACGAGGGGGCGACCTTCGTCATAGTTGCGCTGCACAAACACCACGTCACTGTGAATGCGAGTGGGGGAGACATAAAATCCTGTCAAATAAAACAACGTGATATATAACTATCTTGCCGATAATACAACAAAATGTACTTTTCAAAATGACTTTTCTTAACGGCAAAAATACCTGTACTTATTTTCCTCTGCAAAAACATATTTTGAACTCGGGATTTTAAATAGTCTCCCCTCTCTTTCCAAAGAGTGGTATCGTCCGGTAAACCTAGCTGGGCTAACTAGAGAGTCAGGATTATCTAGAGAACGACGGAAAGCGTCGGCCCACTGTGAAGAAGTAAAAATAACCATTAAACACAATATAACGTTTTCGATCAAATAATTGAGGTTATCAATACGTGTGTCACGAGTACACGATGTCAACCCCGGCTAGAAGGAGACTTATGAGAGATTTTAAACGGTAAGTTGATGGGTAGGAATTAACCGGTTGATGTTAGTTGGCTATGATTTGTCAAAAACAGCTAACGTTAGCTTAGCTAACCAGTATGTTTTATATATACTAATATATTAACGTATTGACTCACCGATCTGAACCATAGATATGAACGTGACGCAAATACGGTGTATCGCATCGTGTTTTTAAGAACCTGAAATATTTAAGTGAAATAACACTAATTTAGTAAAAGCGCTTCGCCCAGAGCCAGCTAGAAGCTAACGCTGCTAGCTGCTAGCATTGATGTGTAAGTTAGCAGGATAGAGTTACAGTTTACAGCTGATAGCTAACTCTGTATACTAGATATTTAAATGCCCGTGACAAGAGACTGGTTTGCTATTTTATACTTTGGCTTAACACATTTAATGCAACGTATCCAACGTTAATGATTCGTGGATTTAAGGCTCTCGTTTCTTCAACATTAACTGGCATAATGTACGATGCTAACCAACATTAGCTCTGTTACCATTCGGTCCCTACAAAAGTACAACAGTTCATCAAAAGTAAGCTATTAAAATCTTTCACATGCATCTATAGTTTATTAATTTTGCAACTGAGCGTATTTGACTTAGACAAATATGTGTCCTACGGTTTGTGTCAGAAGGTGTGAGAGATTAACTCCGTTCTGACCGTTAACCTTTAACTGCTAACGAGTTTATAAGGGTCCATGTGACGAGAAGAGGAGTGTTGTTCCACTACCTACACAATGCTCTGACGTGTAATTATTTTATTTTGTTATCAACGAGATGTTGAATTTAGGATACAGTTAATCACAACATTTTTCACAAATGTCCCCCTATTCAAATCTAGCTTGGACTTCAAGCTGCCACAATGTGAAGGTCTGTTAGTAATGACCTTAATGTTTATATCAGCTGCTAAAAGTTTTAAAATGATTCACTGTAGTTGGCAAGCAATTACAATGCCCATTATTTACATGATTCATTGCGTGATTACTTGACAGAGTCAGTTGCTTAGTTGCTAATGTGATGTGTATACAGGTGCTGGTCATATAATTAGAATATCATCAAAAAGCTGATTTATTTCACTAATTCCATTCAAAAAGTGAAACTTGTCTATTATATTCATTCATTACACACAGACTGATATATTTCAAATGTTTATTTCTTTTAATTTTGATGATTATAACTGACAACTAAGGAAAATCCCAAATTCAGTATCTCAGAAAATTAGAATATTGTGAAAAGGTTCAATATTGAAGACACCTGGTGCCACACTCTAATCAGCTAATTAACTCAAAACACCTGCAAAGGCCTTTAAATGGTCTCTCAGTCTAGTTCTGTATCATGATTGTATCACAATCATGGGGAAGACTGCTGACCTGACAGTTTTTCAAAAGACGACCATTGACACCTTGCACAAGGAGGGCAAGACACAAAAGGTCATTGCAAAAGAGGCTGGCTGTTCACAGAGCTCTTCATAGAGAGGCGAAGGGAAGGAAAATGAAAAGATGTGGTAGAAAAAAGTGTACAAGCAATAGGTATAACCGCACCCTGGAGAGGATTGTGAAACAAAACCGATTCAAAAATGTGGGGGAGATTCAGAAAGAGTGGACTGCAGCTGGAGTCGGTGCTTCAAGAACCACTACGCACAGACGTATGCAAGACATGGGTTTCAGCTGTCGCATTCCTTGTGTCAAGCCAGTCTTGAACAACAGACAGCGTCAGAAGCGCCTGGGCTAAAGACAAAAAGGACTGGACTGCTGCTGAGTGGTCCAAAGTTATGTTCTCTGGTGAAAGTGAATTTTGCATTTCCTTTGGAAATCAGGGTCCCAGAGTCTGGAGGAAGAGAGGAGAGACACACAATCCACGTTGCTTGAGGTCCAGTGTAAAGTTTCCACAGTCAGTGATGGTTTGGGGTGCCATGTCATCTGCTGGTGTTGGTCCACTGTGTTTTCTGAGGTCCAAGGTCAACGCAGCCGTATACCAGGAAGTTTTAGAGCACTTCATGCTTCCTGCTGCTGACCAACTTCATGAAGATGCAGATTTCATTTTCCAACAGGACTTGGCACCTGCACACAGTGCCAAAGCAACCAGTACCTGGTTTAAGGACCATGGTATCCCTGTTCTTAATTGGCCAGCAAACTCGCCTGACCGTAACCTTGTGAAGAGGATGATGCGAAATGCCAGACCCAACAATGCAGAAGAGCTGAAGGCCACTATCAGAGCAACCTGGGCTCTCATAACACCTGAGCAGTGCCACAGACTGATCGACTCCATGCCACGCCGCATTGCTGCAGTAATTCAGGCAAAAGGAGCCCCAACTAAGTATTGAGTGCTGTACATGCTCATACTTTTCATGTTCATACTTTTCAGTTGGCCAAGATTTCTAAAAATCCTTTCATTGTATTGGTCTTAAGTAATATTCAAATTTTCTGAGATACTGAATTTGGGATTTTCCTTAGTTGTCAGTTATAATCATCAAAATTAAAAGAAATAAACATTTGAAATATATCAGTCTGTGTGTAATTATGAATATAATAGACAAGTTTCACTTTTTAAATGGAATTAGTGAAATAAATCAACTTTTTGATGATATTCTAATTATATGACCAGCACCTGTAAATTTGCTCAGAAGACTGAATTGCATTTTGCTAAAATACTAAACATCACCAGAGTTAAATGTGTAAAAGGTACAACCAGAGTGGGACAATAATCAATCAGTAATACATTTAATTTCTGCTTACTCTGGCCAGAAAGGTAAAGTTACATTTATTTGAAAATACTGATCGGTCAAGTGTTGCATATCGTTGACTGATTGTTGAATAGTTTTTCTGTTCTCATTGTACAAACAACAAAATTATCGGCTGCCAAGATACATGTGACTATTGCTTAGCCGGTAATAATGGCCGATGTGGTTTCCAGTGTGAAGGTTGTAAAGGTGCGGCGCTGTCCAGAGTACAGGCCCCAATTCCATTCCCCCCCCTTCAACATACATTTGGGAATTATTGACACACACCAAGAAGATTGATAGAAAGCACCTGAGTTATTTTCACATTTTTTAACAGTATTAATAGGCTGATATTTACACCAAAATAGAATATTATTGGGAGAAATAAAGCTATTCTATGTCAAATTAGACATTCAGCACCACCATAGAGCCCGACTGGAATAATCCTTTGTTTCATAACCACACTTCAGCCAGTGCGACGATTTGACTGTGAGACTGTTGAATGAGGCTCCTTACATTGAGTAGTAGACTACTCGGGGTCACCCCTATTTTCAAAAATAGAATTTGGCTTATTGTCAAGAGGAAAGTACTCAGTCAATCATGGCATTGACCTGACTGGAGTCCTGCAATAACCCTTTACCTTTCTGTTATGAAGGCTACAAGAGGACCCGCCTGCTGGCGTCAGTGGTGCCCCATCGGAAAACAACATTATGGCGTGGAATGCAGTCATATTTGGGTAAGACATCGATGCACAGCCGTGATGTACATGGACAGATTCCCCCCCCCCCCAGCTATAGATGTAATAAATGTGTGTGAGAAGTTCAAAATGAATGACGAAATCCCTTTTTGTCTTACGTCACACTCACAGCCCCGAAGGAACTCCCTTTGAGGATGGTAAGTATCTCACTCTGTTGAGTCATTATTATTTAGTTTAGTACGGCATGTTGTCACTTTGTTGCATGTTATTTAGAATATGTTTACATAGATAGTCTTTTTTGTGTCCCGTCTCTGTCCCAGGTACATTTAAACTCATTGTAGAGTTCACAGAAGAATACCCCAACAAACCACCCACAGTACGATTTGTGTCAAAGATGTTTCATCCAAATGGTAGGATTGTTGTACTATCTTCTGGCTTATTACAGTATTGCTATTCATGTGTCGTGTTTGATTGTGTTGTTTTTGTTTCCCCACAGTCTATGCAGATGGAAGTATATGTTTGGACATCCTACAGAATCGTTGGAGTCCAACATATGATGTGTCCTCTATTCTTACATCTATCCAGGTAAACAACAATATATTCATATATGTTATAAAGTCAGGCAGTAACACAAAACAGAAAGCAAACCCTATCTTTAACGTTGAGAAACTGTGACCTTTATTTGATCACATATTTGATGTTTAACTTGTAATTATTCAAGATTTAGACTACAGTCGTTAATACACATATACAATTGTACAAAATGAACCCCTGTGCTAACCTACGCTAATGGTAATGTTTGAAAATACGGTGAAACTTAGAATTTGATACTGATGGGGAGGGTTGCTACTTGCAGTTACTTTCAGTAGCGATTTATTTGATAGTTTGAATATTTTCTCGATTAAGAAATTCATCTTTTGAACTTTAAATGTAAGAAAACAGAAAAATGTCCAGAGCCCAATCTTACATCTTCAAGTGTCTTGTTTTGTCAGACCAACAGCTTGCAATTTGTCACAACTACAGGTCCAAAATAAGCCACAGAGGAACAAACATAAAACCATTTTGAACAACTTAATCAGACACTTATTGTCTTGTCTTTCACTCTCATGCATGCTGCTCAGAGTAGTCGCAGCGACGCACCGAGTCTCTCCCTCGCACAGTCCTGCTTCTAGCCGAGCGAAGAGCAAGCAGTTATAACGCGATCGTGTTCAAGTGTAATCTTGTAAACTGTAGTTTTTGGTGAGAAACTTGAATAAATACATTTATTTTAAGGAGACAGCAATATAAAATAGATATGAGAGAGGGAATAATGACATGTTTATCTTCCTAACACCGTGCTTATGCCAGTATTTCTCTTCTCCTCCCACAGTCCCTGCTTGATGAACCAAACCCCAACAGTCCCGCCAACAGTCAGGCCGCTCAGCTGTACCAGGAGAACAAGCGGGAGTACGAGAAGCGCGTGTCTGCCATCGTAGAACAAAGCTGGAGAGACAGTTGACCTGACAATCCCGATAGCTGCTCTCTCCATCGTTAAGCTGTGTGTGCTGCAAGGTTTAGTGGAGTACCTCTTACTTTTTGCCCCCCCCCCCCCCCATCTTTTTGATTTTAAGCTTTTATGCACTTTACCGTCAACTTCCCTTCATAGAATGTTTTTGTTTTTTTGCCCGTCAAGAGGGATTCATTTTTTCCATTCTATCCCACGTTTTCCAGTCGGTCAGGGGAAATGTGCTGAATCTTGCCTTGATGTTTCGTCACTATGGACTTGTGGGCCATTACTCAAAAATTCTGGTGTGTTCTTACTCGCTGTAATAGCTCCTCATGACTTGTGCTAAATGTCTTGGAGGGTGTATGAATTCCGTCATGTTCTGTTGTGCTCTTTAGCTTTTCGTTTGTCAGCTCCTATGTGATCCATCCGACCTTCCCTTTAGGAGAATGAGCAGCCCGAGCATCACGGACTACAACTAAATCAGACATCTTTACGCCGTGTCTTTTGCTGTGTTTTGAACTCTGTTACATGCATGACAGAAAAAGTGTATTCACGTTCCTGTTCAGTACTCGTGTATATAAGAAACCTGCAACTGAATTTATGTACAGATTTTACACTGGTTGTCCCCCGTGTCATTTTTTCAGCACTTGTAAATAAAAATGGCAAATCCATCTTTATGTGAGACGCTTTTTTATTGCAGCTAAGTTCAAGACTTCTTGAACGAGACTGAAAACAACCATACTTTCCTTGACAGGGGTTACAAATCAATGAGGCACTGACCATAAGGTAAAGCACGGTTAAATAATGGCATTTAAATCCTCACTATAGCAACACAGGGAGGTAACCTTTTGTTAAAGCCAAAGTGATAATGCATGTCAGAGCAATGCGTCATGTCAAAAACACGGTCACCAGAGGGGAAATCAATCTGCCAGAAAAGTCATCGTATATTGTACGTCAAAACAGATTATAGTAAAATAAGCCATAAAAATATAGCATATACATAGTATTGTATTTCACAGAAGAGTCATAGTATGTTATAAAAACATCTTAGTATAGTGTCATAAAGTTATAGTACAGTATGTCAAACGATACTATAACAGGTCATGATTTATATGCCTCCGCCAACTAGTCAATCATCACTTAATTTGATCCCATTAGATTGTCATACATTTTTAGAATTAGCATATGAATTTGTGGCCCAATACATGCTTTGAAAAGCCATAGAATGCCATAAAAAAAGCTTAGTATAGTATGTAATTTATTCAATTTAAAAAGCCATAGTATAGTATCTCATAAAATGTAATTAACTAGAATTATCGCCTCACCGTTTAACCTCTGCCACCCAGTCAACTTACCATTTGCATCCATGTTCCTCCATAATTAGCATATGAATTCATGTCCAAAGAAGAAACCCCCCCCCAGACCCTTCCTGAGACATCTCGTTCATAAGAACGGATGGACAACCTGAAAACATAATACCTCTGGACTGGAGGCATAGGAATGTAAACTAATCTTTAAACCAGCCGTGGTTGGTTTTTTTGTGCCACTTAGCAAGTGAAAACATCTTCAAATGATTCTTTATTTAGAAACGTTTTATTTGTGAAATGAATTGAGCATATATAAAGGAGTGGAAGATGTTGCATGCATGATAAAAACAAAGGGGCAGTAAGTTACATGCAGGTTGAACTGTACTGTGTCCATCTTTTACAAATAATACCAACCAGGAGGCAACAGTCTTGTTTCTCAGCCATACAGAAGTTACAAAAATAACTATTTACAACATTCGTTCACTTTTTAAACAGTGCTGCCAGTAAATGGTAACAAAGACGAAACAAAATATTTTTTTTAGTGTTCATTGGGCCCGACAGAGCGAGCTACCTGTTGTACGCCCTCTCCTTCTTGGCCCTCTCTAAGGCCTTGTCCATGCTCTTCTCGTTCTCACCCCTACACTTAGGGCAGTACCACTTGCCTTTGGGCTTATGGTGGAGCCCGACACATGAGAAATGAAACCACTCAATGGGACATTCGTCGTTATCACAGCCAATCATCTCGCCGTAGGACACCTGCTCACACAGGCAGTATGTCGGCTCATCTGGATCGATGGGCAGGTCTGGCGGGGACACCTCTCTCTCGGATTTCCCTTTTGACCGTTTCTTCTTCTTTGACGACGTTTTGGCCCTCTTTTCCCGGGATGCGGCCACTCCCGCTTCCTCCGCGTGCTCCACAGCCCCGTAACTTTCCCGGCTTTCTCCGTTTTTCTGACGTCTTGAGCGTTTTCCTCCGGCCTTGTCTCCACCGGCCGAGGCTGGGGTAACCTCTTCGCGCTTCTTTTCGTGCTGGACGGTTTTGCCCGGAGTAACGGTGGCTGAGGATGATGACGACATCACGGACACAGCAGTGGCTGTCGTGGATGTTGCTGTGGGAACGTGAGTCTCTGGGACTTCTTGAGAGGAAAGGAGAAGTTCAGAATGCCAGTCGATTTGTCGTGTTCGGTTCTCCACTAACTCCACCTGAAACAAAGACCGTTCAGATTTACTGTAAAGCTCTGCCTGCCGTCGTCTGAAGTACATGTGGAAGACTGAAAACTTGCAAAACTGAAACTAGAAGTAAGACCATAACTTGTTTGGGCATGAAGTTGCAAGCTGTAGAATGACATTCCTTTGATGAACCATATGTTTTGATGTTTTGTATGTGAAAAGTTAATAAAACCATATTTCTTAAATAAGAAATCAGTTTGCTTAGACATGCTCCTTGTTTATCCAGTTATGCAGTATAACATTATACATTCTGTCAATAACCAGATGAGCAACAACATAAGTATTCACAACCTTCAAAGAAATTCAAACATGTGCAAAATGGACAACCCAATACAAAAAGGCCTTTTATCAGGTTTTTTTTTTTTTGTTTTTTTTTTTTTAATTTACTCAGGGTAGATTTTTTCTGAGCACAGATGTTCCTGGAAAAGCACTTCTCTGTCCTCACACAGTTGCACACACTCAGACCTGGAGGTTTGCCAATGAGCAGCTGCGGGGCTCCCTTAACGTACCATTTGACCGGCAATCTGGATCTTCTCATCTCCGAGCTCTTGACTACGGATCAGCGCTCTCTGAATGGATGACTGAAGCTTTCGCCTCTGAAGTGAGTCAGATTCTCTGCGATACCGTTCATAAGCATCATCAAGCTCCTTCAGAACATCTGCCAAAGAAGAAATCAAGGGGGGGAATTAAGATGGGAATAGGACGACTGAAATTCGACAGATTCTCAAAAGGTACACACAAACTTAATTATATTACTTGTCATATTAGATAATTTTCTTGACTGTATTATGTGGTGAGGAGGGTGTTTTAGCCAGTGAATAATGAGTGAACAAACTGTCCAAATGGGCTAGCATGACATTAGACTGCATCAGTTTTAGCTACGTGAAACTACGTCAGTTCAGTTTAGAAAGGAGACAACTCTGTCAAGTTTAGTCTGCAGACAGCGAAGATGAAAGGTGCATCCTGTGTGTTGATCAAGCATGCCATGTGGACAAGACAGGAGGTGAGACCCACTACTTTGGGGGATTGTAATGAGACTGGTGAGAGAGCAAAGTGCTGGGTGTTAGGCTCGATCTAGTGGGAGAGGTTCAGACATGCAGCTACAATGTAGTGTGTAATTGTACATTATAGCTACATGTCTACTATTTGCTATGTAATCTGTTAAGTGTTCAGTCGGTACACTTGTTAAAGTACCTTCTAATTCACTTGGTTTAGTTAAAAAAAAAACATGAATGTATACATGTAATGTACAATCACAATATCTGATTACAATGTTTGCCGACGTATCTGTTAAGTAATTGCTTAACTATATGTTACTATATGATTTTTGCAATTAATTTAGTATTGATTAATGTAGATGATGATTCTTAAATTGTTCTTGTCATGGAAAAACATATTAATATGATTATCATGTGATTTTCCCGAGGATCTGTACCAAACAAAGATGTTTTTTTAAGTCTATAGGATATGCGTTTTGCCTTTAATAAATAACATTTTGATTAATTGTGAGGACTTATTTTTTTTTACCTTGATACTTGGCATCAATTTCCTTCATGAGGGACACACTCCTCTGCAGGTCAAACGGTAGTGACTCCACCAGGTCCAAATACTCCTCTACGTATTTCACAACGACGTGGCTCGGGTCGCCATTGGTCGGGTTCAACATCGCGGACCCCTTTTCTTCCCGGAGGACACTCCCGACACCTGCACCTGTTACCAACAAATCATTATCAAAATGTGTAGTGTTGCTTTAAAAGATGTCCAAATGCTGTTTTCCTGACAACTATTAATTCATTTCGTCACATCAAACGTCCCTGATATAAAAACCGTTGTATATCTGTCTTGATTTCCAGTATAAAGCAAATAAACACTAGAATAGTCAAAATGAGAAAGGGGGAGGGGGCAACTGATCTGAAGTCAGCCATCCTAAAGATCGCTTGCTACGTGTACTATAAATCTGCCAACAGAGAGAGAGACTAGTTTGGAGCAGAAGAAACAACTCTGTTCAAGAAGAAAACAACTAAAAACATTTTCGGGCGAGTTCAGATGGACAACATGTTACCGTTAGTTACTGAAGTGAATACTGACAACAACGTTAAACACTAACGTTAGCACAACACTGATGTTAGCTAGGTAAGCTAGCTAGAATTCCCGATTAATTAACACCAGGAAACGTGTGGAAACAACCACATAGAAGTCCGATTAATTATGTCCATCAACAACAGCTCCTGTGTCTGTTAGTCGTTCACGACTAAATAACCGTTACAGTTAGCTAACGTTACGAACTTTCTCCTCTTTGCACATTTGAGATTAGCCAACTCTAAAAATGTTACTTTACACAAATACATATATTGTCAGTGATGTTAATCGCGTGCTGACAGCGCTGAAACGTCACCCAACGTTAATGTGCCTAACCAGTGTGAAGAAAAACACTTCATTCAATCACATCGTAAACAAACACACAACACTCAACTGCTAACTACATCCACAAGCTACCATTACACAGATCATTACGAACATTATGCAATAATTTAGACACTTTAAGCGGCCTTATTTATATCATGTTCGCTTCAATGTAACTGTTAGCTAAATTAGCTTCTGTTAGCTTTAAACGCATAACGTTATTTAAAGATTCACATGAGACGCAATGCAAAAAACAATCATTCAACAAAGGTTAACTAAACTTATTTAGTTTGTAGCGAGGTGGCTTGCAGGTCAACGTACCTGTGTGGATAATAATAGCTTTGTTTTCTGTAGCAGACGTTGAACACTCCGTGATGCTGTTGTTGCTAACGCTAGGTCGTGTGTAGAGTGGACCACTAGTGTAATGATAGTGTGGGTCCTACTAGCCCAATGGATTTTAATTTTAGCTCTCAGCTAAAGTGCCTGATCAAATATGTACGAAGCGGCCACTGATACAAGTCATTGAATAATAATACTTCCGTTTGGCTTCAACCATTGATTTCAGGCTATTTTATCATTACAAATTTTATTAAATGCATGAATTCCCCTTCCCTTGGCAGTAGTAAACATGACCCTAGTATGTTTTCAAGCTCTAAGTCTATATTGTTTGGCTGTGGCAACAAGACTTTCCCGTGACGGCTTCCAAGAAATAGTTCAAATAGTCACTCACACAAAACCATATTTATTTTAAAAAATTCAAACAGTTTTCTGGTTTACAGTGGCCCTAATTATCTTACCATCTCAGTGTCTTTGGTGGTTTGTAAAAAAATGTAGCTACCTCAGCATGTTTGGTGAATGCATTCATAATAATACTTCATAAATGGAAGACCATATTTGTTGGTTTTCATACAGGGTTCATTTAATACAACAAACAACAAGTCAGTGTGTACTTTTTTTTTGCACCGGAATTTGAGAGTCGTCTTAACTTCATTCAAATTCAGCTTGATGAGAATTTTTTTTCCACCAGCCCATCCATAGGCTATATTAGCAGTTATCAACAATGCAAACTTGAGTATGTACAGTATGTGTATAGCTTTTAAAACAATTTTCAGTTGGCTGGTTTCAGCTTTCAAATAGCTTTTTGAAGGCTGAGCCAATCTCCTGGATCATGTCCGATGTGGTGGTGGACCTGCCATGTCGCTGGAATGCTTGACTGTTACACTGCCTTGTAAGAGAACAAGCCCCGAATGCTGCAACCACTGATGGATTTACACTGGAGGACAAAAAAAAAATATGGATTATGAGACAGAGAGAGACACATACAATTATATTTATTTGTACAATATTAAACTTTAATAGATTGTAGTAGTGGTTCAACTTCTGATTGTTAACAGCATTACCGTGTGACAATAAGAAAATAAAGACTATTTTCTTGATTAATGATTCCATCTACACAATGCCAGAACATGGTGAACACCTTTTTTCTGACCAACTATCCCAAACCCAAATATGTTCATTTTATTATCACATATAACAAGGTAAAGCAGTATATGATCACAATATAAAGCCTGGAACTATTTGTTTTGCATTGTGGTCGAAAAATGACTATATCAAAATGGATAATGAAAATAGTTGACAATTCATTTATGTTGTTTATCTAGTCTAACTAAACCTTTCAGATCAGACCTACAATAAATTAACAAAAAAGTGACTTCATATTAACTAGGACAGATTACGCAAGTCAAGCAAATTTTAAGGACTTGCAATTTGATTTCTGTAACGTACTGAAGTGAATGGAAATCAATGGGGGCTGAAAAAAGGTATAAATTCAATCCCAACACAGAATGTTTGAGAAATGGTTCACAAAATATGTTTTTAAACATTAAAAAAAAAACCGCTATGGTCCTTTATTAAAAGGTGGTATACACAACTATTAAAACAAATGCACAAGCAGCTCGTCTTCACCTTCTGCTCATTCCAGCTGCAGAGGCAGCATGGGCCCAGTGGGCCAAAACCCCCATAGCTCCAGATAGAAGATCACCCTGTCCACCACATCTCCTCCCACTGCCCGCAATGCTGCACGAGATCACTGAAAACAAGAATTTACAAGATGACATCACAGTCACAAAAGAAAAAAAAAAGCTCTTAAGTTTCTCAGGATTCATATCCAATTAGTAATTTACACAAAGTGGAAAAGGGTAAATGTGTGGCTGTAAAAGTGAATTTCCTAAATGTTGTAACTTGGCACTAACCCTTACTGCCGTCTGTAATGAGATCATGTTCTCCTTTTAGCACCATAGTGAGGTTGCCCATGGCTACACTGAGCTGCATGACGCTGCGTTGATGATCACTGATGTCCATGGGCTCGTGGTGCTGAGACAGCAAACACAGGAAAGGAAAAAAGACACACACATTAGCACACAGATAGATATGTTGTATGCCATCAATTGGTGACCAGATCACCTCTGCGGAAAGACCCACCAGAGCCTCATATAGCCGAGTAAACTCCATGAAGTTAGGTGTGAGGATTCCCTTCGGGTACCCTTGGATAACAGATGGTTGCTGTGTAACTAGCCATAATCCGTCCTGTTCAAAAGAAACAAACCACAAACACACTCAGTGACTGTGTCTGGCTTTGGCAATAAAATCCCATCTGTTCAACACTTACTGCATCAATGACTATCGGGATATCTCTCGCTTTAGACTTCTCTATCACCTCCTAAAAGAGAGGAATAAAAAGGTCATCTAGAGATTCAGTATACATTATACTTAAGTCATTCTGGTCCTACAAGAACACTGTAATGTTGTCTTTAGTTCCATCAGTCTCATCAAAGCTGGGCTACAATTCAGTGTCAACTTAGCAGTAGTGCACATGTGCTTCTTTCAGATACAGTTTGAATCATCAGTATGAGATCTTTCTCTCAAGTCTTTGACATTCCCACTAAGCCATGTTTTCTGGGAATTTAATTTCAATTTTGACTGTTTCAGTCACAGAGAGCCACAAACATGAGGAGTTGTGTGCAGCTTAGATTCATCACTGTATTCTAAGAATATGACTTTTGTTCAGTTGTGTGGTCATGCACAAGCAGTTAGCCATAGAGACTGTTTTGAGTGAATGTATTCCACGTGCCTTGGCTGTTTTCAGTAATGCGTCTTCTCTCCCTAGACCTGGTCCCACCACAAGGCCGTGAAGTCTTGGGAGCCATTTTTCTATCTCTTCCACTGCATTAGGGCTGTCCCTTGAGAGACACACGCACACGCACACGCACACGCACACAAAGACAAACCCGCGTTAGACGTGTCTGAATCCACACATTATGAAAAGTCCCTTCTTGGTCATGCTCTCCAAAAGCTTTTTTATGCTTTGCGCATAAATAATCTTGGTTTTCATTTCTGAAATGTTTTATGAATAAATGGCAACTGTGCACACACACAAACACAAAGTGAAGGAAGGATGTGTTAGTGTGTGTTGTTGAGCTGTATTGCATTATACAGCGGTGTCTTTGTCATATATCCTACTCTCTTGATACTGTGAACAAAAGAATTGTGTCCTCTCAACATGCTATTCAGATAATAATTGGTCCACGTTGATCTGTACTTACAGAACAGGATGAACTATGAGCTCAGGGCTGTATGATTTGATCACAGTTGCAGCATCTTTGGTGCAGAACACATGAGCCAAGTCAGCCCCCTGGAAACAAGACAAAGGCACAGTCACTGCACCCGAACTGGACTTTTAATTCAAAAACATCAGTTCAGACTGGATAAGATTAACGAGAAATCTGTCAGAAGCACGATCGGAATGACTGCTCACCACTTTCAATGCTGAGATGGCGGCAAAGTATGGAGCTCCAGTATAGCTTGAGAGTGCGGAGATGAAAATATTAGGGCAAATGTTCTACAGAACAACAAATGTAATTGTTCTTTGGTGTATGATGTTTGTATTAAGGGCAAATTGTGACATACTCTTGGCATCCTCCAATGATCCCGATACGTCCATCGTGTCCCTTGTGCTTTTTGGACGTCAGTGGAGGCACTATATTCTTTACCAGTGAGAGGATGTCATCCTCCATGCCTCTGTGTGACGTAGACCCCAAACTGTAGTAGCGTTCAAACACTGAGGGAACAAACAAAGTGACAGTTTTAAAGTGGGATACTTGCTCGGCTTGAGTCGGAGTCTAAATCTACGATTTATAGTTTGGCAAAACCAACAAATAAAGAGATAATATGCACTGTCAATTAAAAAAAAAAGACCAAAAACCACCTAACTAAAGAAAATCTGTTGCCTGGAGTGACCGCTCCATCACTGAGCCGTCACATTACAGCTGATATGCCTTTAATTTCCACCTCAATGCTGCACATGACAACCGAAACTAATACCTAATCCCGGGGGTTCTGGGGTCACCAGTGGATTTTTTTGGGTGAAACAGTCTGTCTGGGGTGGGTGGCGTCTGAGATGACCGGACTGGCCACGTGTACACGACGGGGTAGTGTACACTGGGAGCGTGGGAGCATGGGCAGGCGGAGCTGTTTTGGAGGGAGTGGCAGCAGAGCCGGGTCTGGCCGAGGAGACGCTGGAGAACATCTGCCCGAGCATCTGGAGCATGTGCAGCTCCCTGGCGTGCTCGGCTTCCCTGCGCCGGTCTTCCACCTGTAAGCGCTGCTCCTCCATCCGGTAGAAGTTGTCCTCGGCCTGGGCGCTCTGCTCCAGGAACTGCTCCATCAGTTTCTCCATGGGGAAGTTAGCGCGCCGCTTCCTCGGCCGTTTAGGCGTTCTAGTTGACAGGTTGCTGGCCGACTGGCTGCTGTTGTGTGGTCTCACTGGAGTGCCTGGAGTAGAGAGGGGCGAGACATTGTATGCGATGCAACTTTGAGCATAATAGAGTTACATCATTGTAGTGTTAGAAATTATAACAACAACCGTCAAACACAGAAGAACCAATGGACAATGGAGGGAGGACTCACTGTTAATGCCCACTGTCTCTTTAACTGGAATAGGGATGGGAACAGTTGGGTATTCCAGCTTCACTTCGGTTTCTGCGGGATAGGGACACTCCCCTGTGCTCTCCGAGTACGCATCTTCTCCATCCTCCTCCAGGCCGTCCACGGCCTCCTCTCCTCCCGCCCCGCCGTCTATGAACTCCTGAGGATCAAGAGCGGCCCGGTTGCTCAAAATCCTCTCCATGGTGTCATAAAACTTACAGATCTTGTGATACTGTCCGTTGTTGCGGAGATTACCTTCCTTCGCTAACAAGTACTGTCTCTTGAGGCTTTTGATCCGCACCCTGCATTGCTCCGGCGTCCTCTCAAACCCCATCGCCCCCAGCCTCCGGGACACGTCGCGGTACACGAAGCTGTTTCGGAAGTTTCCATCCAGCGCCACCTGGATGTCCTGCTCCCCCCAGATGTTCAACAAGGTCCTCGTCTCCACGTCCGACCACAAGAAGCCCCGCGTTGTGTTCGCTTGCATAGCGGGGGTGCAAACCGGCTCGCTTATGGAGCAAACTGCACCACAAGGAGTTGAATGGAGCAGTTGACACTGCGGATTATAATGGACGTCTGGTCTGGATCTTTGCTCTTAGCTGCATCAAAGCCGCGGGGCAGCGATATCCCAAACAGCAACAACTGGCCATTTAGGTAGCTTAGAAGGATTAGTGGGTGTAATAATGAGGGTTTTTAACTTGGGTACCATTATAATATCTTGCACAGGTCAACTCTTTGTGCTAGCTAAAGCCCAGACGTCTATGTTTATCATTTTACGTCGTTAACAAGATGCGTAGCTTCGTAATTTTGATTAACTGACCGGGGATCGGTGTCACCAGCCCCTTTTCTTAACCTTGTGCTCAGTTGGCGGAATTTCAAAACGGACCTCTGATCAGTAGTCTGAGGGTAACTTCACCTTTCTCCGCCTGCTCTTCCGTCAGTGCTAGGTGTCTGCGGGGTCCTAGTGCCACCCGTTTACACAGCCGACTGGGCCTTACCATGTCAACTCCTCGAACAACAGTGGGGGCAGCGCTTTAGCTTAGCTAGCATTACAGCTACCAGGGCAATTAAATTAAATGTCACAATGTTTCATTCACTTTACCTTTCTCGTTCAAACAGACCAGTGTGGCGACAATTGACAGAGCAACCGTGAAAAGAAAGGCGAGCATGTGAATCTCTTGCAGCATGTTGTTATCATTCGTCAACCCCCCCTTGTTGATCACAGTTATTCTTACCTAAACTGGAACTGCGTTTCAACGCTGACAACTGTATACAAACGGTCCTGATCATGAGGCGCATTGACCCAGCACACCAGTACAGGAAGAAGGAGTTGATGATGCCTTTAAAGGCGCCTCGGACAATCCTAGATCCCAGATTATCAACTGCCGCCAAAAGCGGAAGTAGTTTAAAGCTGCACTTCTTCTAATAGCCGCTAGATGCTGGTTGGTTGATGTTCCACCAAATTAATCCGATATATTAGGTTACCCTTAATAAATTCAAAGACGATGGCAAATATGGGTGAACATGTGTGCATATGTGCATTTGGGCTGTTTGTAGATGCAGATATGTTCCAACCTTAAATCATACACATCACTTGTTCAACACTACATTTCTTTGCTCCTTTTTGTAATTACCATTGTACCAGTTTTCTTTTTTTTGTATTAGTTATTTGCAAGTGTAGCAATTAAAAGTCACAAACAACAACAACATGTATCAAAAATATAAAAGCAGGTCACTTTTATTTACATAAAATCATCTACATCTACATCTAATATCATTCAAAAATCGTCATAAAAATGTATTGCTGTTACATTTGTTGTCACATGCTTAGCAGAGGATGTATTCAAAGCTCAGTAACTGTGTTTTGAGGCACAAGTAATGTTAAAAATAAAATTGTAGGTGGTTTAAAATTGGTCGACTAGCAAATGACACAAAAGTTGGTAGTTTTAAAGAATATAATGTTGCCTGCTCTAAGACTGAAATGATTTAGAGCAGAGGTAGGCTACCGTTGTAGTGGCACACTAACACGTGTGCAAGTGAGTTTTTTGGAAATGTTGAAGTGGCCTCATACACATGCAAGGTTGTTGAATCAGATGTGGATGTTTTCATAAGAATAGCAGCCTTCTTGTAGTGTGTTCTTATTTATAATTGCCATATTTATAATTACCAATGTCCTGATTATGGGAGAAAAATGTTGTTTTTTCAATAAAATTACAGATGCGTTGGTGATTTTAATTTGAATGTGGTGTCGTAATTATACTTACTGTTAACCTTAATGTTGATATGGCACACTGATTAACAAGAGCATTACACAATATCACTCCTTATCTAAAAGGTTGACAGCCCCTTTTGTAGAGTGAGCCCGGACTTGTGCTTTATTGTGATAACGGTATGGGCCTCTTAGAGGAAGCCTATTTGTCTTGTTTTGAGGAGTTATTTTTGCGGTCTGAAGATCCTGCTTTTTCAAGAGACCCAAGTTCTCTTCATCAAGTATTCGTGTGTCATGGTCAAATGCATGCATTTGGCAAGATAGTCTATAAAAAGATAGCTGTATTCTGAAGTTGAAATGTCCCCTAATCTGGACATACTAGTATAGTATTTAGTATTTCTTTGCCCTCCTGTTGTGTTTAATTTGAATTATATGGTCATTGTGCCTGGCTATTTCGTCTGAAGTTAATACCCCCATTTTGTTCTCTAAACTTTTTTTTATTTTTTTTTGTGGTAATAAAAAACTAAAACATGGAAGATAGCTGGGGGCGGTTCACACTTTATGCAAGGGTACATAGCCTGCCTGTAGCTGAACCTGAAAGGCGTAGCTCAGGGTAACACAAGGGAACATTGCCTTGTCGGTAGCTGAACCTGAAAGGCGTCGCTCAGGGCCTAAATCCCTATCGTCCCACTCCTCACCTACTTCCTGTTTCACCTCAGTCACTTTTCGAAGTTCAGAGTCAGACACCAGATGGAGAGGAGCCAGCGCTGGACATCCACTCTGTTACAAATTAACTCCAGTTCATGAAATGGCGTTGGTCTGCGGAATCCGCGGCCAACCTGACATTAAGTTGACGAGCTAGAGCGAGTTTCTTTCCCACGGACAAAAGAGAGGGAAGAAAGAGCGCCCCTGCTGCGGGACCCGACGACTCAGCAACATGCCCGAAGTGTGGAAGATGAAGAAGCCCGACGTCAAGGTGGTTCTCCTGGGAGACATGAACGTGGGCAAGACGTCGCTGCTCCACAGGTACACGGAGAGGAGATTCAAAGACACCATCAGCACCGTTGGAGGGGCGTTTTTCCTCAAACAGTGGGGACCTTACAATATCTCAATATGGGACACTGCTGGTAATATCTCCCTCGTTTATTTTTCTTCAGACTTTTCTTTTTCTCTCCACTCTTTAATTCAATTTCTTCAGTTTATTTAACTTTGTTTACCTGATAACGCGTGATCCCACCACCTGAGGCAATCACGAGCATGTGACCGCTCAGTCACGACCGTTAACACTCTTCTAACTAACATTAGAGATTGAGTGCTGTGAACAATACCATGCTTTATGAAGCCTCGCATAATTAAAGCTTTTCAGGTAAACATGCTGATAGTCAATCACACGTAAGTTAAAATAACCCTAAGGATAACTTTAAAAAGGAACCTCACAGTTATTTTTTAAACAATGCTGATTGGATCAGACCTACTTGATTTTATGCTGATAAAGATGTTATCTTCTGGCCAGAACCTGTAATCATTAACATAACGTTTAGTTTTATCAGCCCAAAGTTATTGACAAGTAAAGTCTACTGGACCTTAATCTTAAAAGAAAAAAAAAGTAAAATACTAAACAATATATGACACAAACATTTTAAACAGACTATTCTCAAAACATTGAATAAACTTATAAATAAGTCTGTTGGTCACTTAGTCAAACATTACATTAGCATATTACTTTTTTTGATCATTTTCATCAAGCAAATTTCATATCCGTATATAATTTCATATCGGTAATAATTTATTTTCTTGCAGCTCGTCAAACTGCCTGGGGAAAAATTATTCTTAGACATCCCTTTTGGCTCTGGTAATTTGTGATAGAAATTCCTGAATTGGAAAGAGTTACACTCGAGTTTGTTCCAGTTTTAGTTGGTTCTTATATGCTTAAATGCATTTGATGCCTTTAAAATCACCCACACACTCACCCTCCTGCTTATTATTCTGCAGAGACCTTAATACTGTTTTATTAAAATATATGACGTGTTACGTATAATCTTCACACTTCACACACTGTGTTTCCTGTTTGCTGATCAACACAATCAAATCACAGAGTGCCTTCTCTTGCGCCACATTGCTCAATACTGATCAAAGCTATTGTCATCTGAGTGCGCTCACACAATCGGACACCTTTAGCCTCTTTTAATCAGTGAACAGCTGCCTGACAGAGAGGCTTCACTGCCAATGATTTGACAGAAAACAGACTATTCTAACGGCTCAATGGAAAGCCTCTACAATGGGCAGTGTTACTAAAACGTCTTGTTTACATGTGCTGCAGCCTACACGACAAGAGACAAACTGCAAAGGGCCTTATTCTATTAGATCAATCAAATTCATCTTGAAATGCTATTAACTAGTTTTCAGGGATTTGCAGAAAAACCCTCCGGTGAACTTAAACGATGAAATGAAACTCAAGGAAAACACCTTTATGTGATGTCAGCTGTTGGACTAACAGAGTAAACTATTCCCCTTGATTTAGTTTTCTAACTCATTAGATTATCAACTCTTTGTTTCTGCACTACGTGAGATGATTACTCGGTACACTGACACCATTTGCAGTCTTGTCTTTGTTGTAGAATACTGTTAATTTGCCTGGAAGATTTATTATACACAGACCCAGTTTGTTTATATTACTGTAATATTGAGTACATATAATATTAAAGATACAAACTTCAGTCCCTAATTGACTCCAAGGGTCACAATAATTTATTTTCTCCTAAATACACTAATTTGGGGATTTATGTTTGCATACCAGGAACATGTTGGTGATTCATCCCGTTACTGCTGATGAATACGCTCATAACTGCACTACATTCCAGTATTGTGTCAACATGAACTACAATAAACCCTCTTGGGTAAATACGCACTGGACAAACGTAGAGTTGGTGAGCCACAGAGATAAGGAAAGGCCGACCATGTCACCAGTAAGCCATTTCCTGCCTGTGTTCCCCTCACCCCATGACCTCTGACGGGAGGCTCTTGTGTTCGTTTTATTTAGTCACTGCGGTGGAGAAATGCCGGATCAGCGCTGAGTCACTTCAACGCTGCTGTTGCGGACCTGTCGGCGTCGGCCATAAAGCATTGGCAGTTATACGGGTTGCATACAAGAACCTGTCAGATGTTTGGCTCCGCACAGTGAAAACAGTCCCAGTGATAATGCCGCTTTTCAGTTTAATTTAAAAGCCCCACGGAGGCCTTTAAGCCACATACCCTGTTCCTCTTAGTAGTCACATGACAGGGTTGGTTAGGAAAGACCTGACTCCCCATGCTAGCCTTTCCAAACTTGCATACAATATTCATTTCCAGATGCACAAAGAGGACCGAGTAGTTTTTTTGTCATTCAGCCAATAGTATGTATAATAATTTATCTTCATACCTCACATCTTCAGTGTACTCTGATGTGTTCCACGAGGTATTTGAGGTGAATTAGTGTAGTGAAGGCACTCTTAGATAGCAGTATAGCTGAAATGATTAGTTCATTAATCAATTAGTCGACTGACATAAAAGTTTGGATTATTGTTAGGATAAAACAAGGACTTTAAAGAAACTTCATTGTGCTCCGGGATATTTAAACAGTGATTTTTCTGGACAAAACATTCAGTAAATCAACAAAATAATCAAAGTTAGGTGTACTCTATAAACTGGTGCTGAGTATTATCCAAGAGATGCCCCCGGTGGCAAAGTATTCACACACAATGTGCCCTTTCAAGAATACTGCATATTTCAACAACAAAGGTTGTTTCTGTTTTCAAACTGCTGACTGTCTTGCACAACTTCTCTCTCTGTGCTGTGTCCTTCTGCGGTGCCGTTCACACAATAAGGCTGTTTTTAAGTTGGTGTGTTTTTAAGGGGTTCGAGTTGATTCGGACACTTCTGACCGCTCTCTCCGTCTCCTCAGGTCGCGAACAGTTCCATGGGTTGGGCTCAATGTACTGTAGAGGCGCCGCTGCTGTCATCCTCACGTATGACGTCACCAACTGGCAGAGCCTAGCGGAGCTGGAGGAGCGCTTCCTGTCTCTGACCGACACCGCCAACCATGACTGCATTTACGCTCTAGTGGGCAACAAGGCTGATCTCACGGACCCTAAAGCCCAGCTGTCTCCAGACTCGGACGTGGCGTCTGAGGAGTGCGAGGAGTCTGGTTGCCCCACGCCCCCGGCCTCCCCTGCTTCCCTCTCTGGGATGACGCTACACAAACAGGTCACCCCCGAAGATGCGGCGGCACTTTATGGGAGAATACTGCGCTACAAGGGCCTGGAGGAGAAGAGCAGCCTGCCCGCCGAGAAGCTGTGCTTCGAGACGAGCGCCAAGACGGGCTACAATGTGGACACTCTGTTTGAGGCGCTGTTTGATCTGGTGCTGCCTTGCATCCTGAGGAAGAGAAATGAGAACCAGGAGTCTCCTACGGTGGACCTGGAAGAGTGCAGGGGGGCCAGCAACAAGCGGGCCAGGTCTGCCTGCTGCTAGAGGCTGCTACCAGCAGAGACTCGTTTCTAACAAAGGACAATCTGCACACCACACACTGTGATGGGACTACTTGTTTTTCTAGACCGGGACCCGATGGCATTAATGAACTCCCGGTGACACAAACACACATTGTTGATTCTGTTGGAAAAAGCAGCTTGCATTTATAGTGTCTGCTAACTTTTATAGGAGGGGAAATGAACGTGTGTTACGTCGTCACGCTACACTTTGAAACCACACTAATCTCCCAAAAATGTGTCTGTGATCAAATAACACGCATAAGAAATCAATCACTGCTTTTTGTTAATGTTTTCGAATGAGAATGTCACAAATTTAACATCACTAATTGTTATGTGGCACATTGCAATGTGTTTATTATAGTTATTTAAGTTTTCAACAAATCTTGTTTTCTTTTATGCTCTGTTACTATCGTTAATACAGATCTTTATATCTTTAAGGCACATTTGGTACTTTTCAATGAGTGTAAATAGTTGATATACCGATTTGAATGTTTAAATACGCTGTCATAATAAAGATTTTACAGTCTGCCAGATTAGTTTTAGATTGTGAGAGTAAAATAACACAATCAGAAGTATAACAAACGACGTTTAATCTTTACAATCCAATGAAATCATCATGTTATGAAAATTACCGAAGTATCATTACAGTTAATTGTAAGTATATTCCCAGCCTGATCAAACGAGCGAATGTAGGTGAAGTAGAAGGTTTGACCTACTTTCTAAATAGTGTAAAATATTCAGGATCAGTGACCGCAGCATGGATTAGCAAAGTTAGAACTTTGATCCGAGCTGTTTACATTCTGTCCTGTTGGCAGTTCAATAATTAGTAGATTTGTAAAGGAGAATGAGTGTGACATGAGTAGCATTAGATAAGACATGTTTTAACTCCTGCGGACATGAGTCAACTTCATTCAGCGGGTATAAATACAAACAGAATCAGTGCATTGTGTGAACATAATGGCGTATGAGAAATGAAGAGTTACAGGAGATTTTGCAATAGTTGATAAATGCATAAAACGGATGAACAGCTTGAAAAGACTGTCTTATTATAAAAACAGTTTTTTTTTTTTTTTTTTTTGTTTAAGAGCAATTGAATAAAAGCAGGATAATACTGTCAATGGTATCAACCAACGATTGTTCAAGACGCATTCTTCAGCTGGCTGAGAAGCGGTGTTAGTGGCTTTATGGTGGGCTGTATACCCGAAACAATAAAAACATCTAAACTAAAGCAGTGCATACACACACACACGGGCGTCTTTGGTTCAGCTGTAGTGTACGGACTCTGATCGTTTACAATGTGTCATCGTAGCTGAGGTAATAAGTTAAACAGTAAGCACCAATCCACATTTAACACAAGAATACTTGATTTCCCATAAAGCTGTTGACTTCATTATGGGGCTTCTCTTGTTTTTATCTACAGTGGGACTTTTCACTCAAAGCTCAAGGCATCACAGTCGTTGCATATCTGAGCTCTGTGGCTCGGCGGGAAAGTTTTACATTGATTTGAATCGGTATTTCAGATCCCCCTTTGTTTGGTTTAGTACATGGATAGCAAGACGACACTAGACCACTGTCAATGCAACAACTTGTTTGCGTGTCCCTCACAAGTTCTTCATGCAGACCTGGCAGCGGCTGATGCGTGACAGGAGCTGGCCTGCTTTGAGTGTCTCTGATGCCGGCGCAGTGTGGAACGACTGATCTACGGAGGTTAGCCAGAAACTGTTCTTGTTAGCGAAGTAGTGGCATGTGCCTTTAGCCCCGTTACACTCAATGAAGGGTGTTGTGCGGAAGTCCTCCAGGCAAGAGCCAGGCGACGACAAGGACTGACCTCCGCCTTCATTTCCTGCTGCTGTGTGCTGTGGAGAAACGAGGTGAGAGGGGAAGAAATGAGGAAGGTGTGTCTAGTATTCATAGCATCCTACACTTCCCACACTGACACTTGACAAGGCCTTTTCATGAGACGCTTCCTGTCTGGTAAACACTCGCATCTCTCGTTCTCCACATTGCCAGTTTGTAACACAGGCGTTCTAGTCTCCAATACAATATGTTTTTATATTTCCCAAAGCTACTCCACAGCAGTTTTTACAACTGAATAGTAGTAGCCATCAATAGTAAAGTGAAAACACATAGTGCCTATAAAACTTTTGTTATGGTAGTTGCATCAAGGTCTCACAATTGACAATAAAATGATAATGATGCTTAAAATCCCGCACATAGCCATTTAAACACATTTATCTAGGAAGACCAGAACTCACCATGATGAAAGAGTAACCGATCCACAGGCTGCGCCAGCCAGCGGGACACTGTGGGATGGTGATGTCCTGGCTGTGGATCGCGATGGCAACTGATGGAGCTTCGCATACTGAGCAGCGGCTGATGTACGGTTTGATCTCTCCCTCTTCTACAGGCATCATGGGAAGAGGAGCAGTCGTCGACAGCCAGTAGGACTTGTCATTTCTGCTGGCATAGTAACAAATGTCTCCAGGATTGCAGTACAGGAAGGGCATGCTGTTGAACCGTGGGAGGCAGGAGCCAGCCAAACCTGCAAAGGACAAACCACCAAATTATACACATTTCATACACACACAAAGTACACAATGAATAAATGGCATTAAATAAGACTGACATGATTAAACATTTAAAACAGATTCAAAGTATGAGAGAAAAAAGAAGATATAGCTGAGCTCAATTTCTTAATCTTGCTTTAAACTGAACCTAGCAGCCACTGTGCCATATGTGAGATAATGGCAAATGCTAACATGTAGCATAAAACAGTAGAGAAGAACAATAAAGTCAGTTAACTGACTCGGTAACGTCAATTATCCAGCAACATCTACCTGAACATTAGCTAACATTGGCCACCATGAACTACAGGTCATACCAGACTAAGTCAAGCTGTATCAGAAAAAAAACTTGAAACCCAAAGGGTGCATAATATAAGGTATGAATTCATCTTTTAACTTGTTATAGGAATGATGTGTTTTTTCTTCTTTTTAAAGTTACATAGTCTTGCTTTATAACAAATGGGAGGACGTAATTTTTCCTAAACAAAGTACTTTCTGTTTCTGAAATAAGGTGATGTTGGAAAATCTAATCCGGTTGTCCGGTCTATCTTTATTGTTTTACCTGAGGAAGAAGCAGCACTGAAACGAGAGCGGGGATTACATTTCTCATGATTAATTTGAAAGTCTTTCTGAATTTCTCACATTTAGCGAAAGAAGGTGAAAGATAAAGCAGATCTTCACAAATAAGTTCTCCGTTAAGCTGTGTTCTGCCTCTTGTGCATAGTGTATTCATTTAGAGACTAAATGTGATTACACTGATGGAAAGTCAAGCAGGCCTGAACTGGAACACCCAATTGAATTAGACTTTTAAGATGTGAGGACCAGCAGTGGAAATGAGTTGATCACAACTGAGAACACTGCTAGCACTGCCTCAGTACACGAGAGATGACCGTGAGAGACCGTGAGTGTTAATGAAAAGCAAGTCTGTCCTTTTCTGTCATCCGTCATGTATATTTATAGGACAGAGTATTTTAAAAGGTCACTATGTCACTCTCTCTTTTTTCCAGCCCCATCGTGCCATTAAAGCTCAATTTGAAATGTGAAATATAAGCGCGATGACACCGGCTGGTCTAGATTGGCCCCTCATCTAACTCTGCCAGCAGCGAGATGTGATGAGGCCGATTGCTCTGGAATGTCTTCTGGTTCATTGGATCACAATGTCTGTTCTGACAGGGCCGCACTATAACAAGCTCACACTGGCATATATGCCGTAGCTCACCCTCACTTACCAAGATCCTGGTTGTGGGCCTTTTCCTGGCCCTCAAAGTACAGCAGGCTGTAGCCGTCCCAGAGTTTAGACATACCCACAGGACACATGGGTGTCTGTTCTGATTGGCTGTGTTTCACCAGCAAGTAACCCACGCTGACGCTGCGGCCCGGCATACCAGGTAGCCCACGGGTACCAGGGTTGCCGCGGTGACCTATTGAGGATTATATAATGCATTCATTCACGCTGGTACTGTACACACCTGACACATGCAGCACTGTGTAACATGTTTACAATATGTATCATGCAAGTCAGATTTTACTTGCAGAGATGTCCTCATGCATGTGACTCTAAAGCGGTCATGGCTTCAGTCAAAACATCTCCGCTAAAATAATTACATAATGATATAAACAGACCTTGGGGAACTCTTTATTTCCCAGCTCAATGCTTTTAATGCTTATTTAGTCACTAAACCAACTCTCACACAAAATAACAAGAAAACCGTCTTGGTAACTGGTTCCCTGATTAGGAGTCTCCACCTACTTTCAATCTTTTAATTCAGGTTTATTAACCCTAATCCGAGTCTGCCCCACAGTGTCATACGCACCTGCCATGCCCTGCAGGCCGGGGTGGCCCACTTTTCCATACTCTCCACGAAATCCAGGTGTTCCTGGTCGACCACTAATCCCAGGCATGCCCTTCTGCCCACTGGGTCCTACGAAACCTGTACAGAAAGAGGATAGGCGCTGGTAGTCAGAAAGTCAGTCTATATAATGACGTCATACTAAATGATGCACGATATTCATGTTTATGCTTTCATTTGAATGGCCAGGAGCATTTATATTTAACAGGTATTAAAACCTAATTATTAGTTATTTACGACTTTTTCAATTTTATACCATTTTGAACCATTATCACTCATGTAGATATCAGCCCAAAAGACTTGCTATAGCTGAATAATTACCTTATTATTTACACATGTTACAGCCTTCATTTGAACATTTAATTATTTGGATGCTCTCCAATTTGTTTTAACGCAGAGCAAGAAGGTGCCGCGATAGCAGGGGAAACCCTAATTTTAGAGCTAATGCATGAGAACTGTGAGAGGAGGAAGAGGGCGTGAGGCAGTGTATGGATGACCCATAACCAGATTACTATAGTTTATGATAAGGCAGGACAGCGATGATGAAGGAAACGAGTGAGGATCTACCACATTGACTCCGCGGAGGTTCATATGAGACGTATAAAATATATTTTAATAATATATATTTCATAAATTTCCATTGCAGTTAAACAATAGGCCTACAGAAGAAAAACAGCACTTCCTGCCCCACTGATACATGTATGTTGCTGAGCCGGACATTTTTTTAGGGATGGTCAACAGCAGAATGTTTAATTAGAACAACTAACCTGAATCACCAGGGGGGGCATGTGGCCCTGGATCCCCTCTGAACCCCTTTGGTCCTTGGATACCATATGGTCCTCCTGGGCCCCTTTCTCCTGAAATTCTGATGGGAATGGGAGGAGGACCCTGGTTTCCTGGAACCCCATGAGAACCTGCAGCACAGAAAGATCACGTAATGAATCAGACAAAAAAACATAAAAGGCCACGTCTGGTAACGTAACGAGTGAGCAGTCTGCACGTTATATGAAAGTGTACAATTTACCTTGAAGTCCAGTGTTTCCTTTTGGACCAGCTGGCCCTCTTTCTCCCTTCACACCAATAACACCAGGAATTCCCATTACTCCTTGCTCTCCTTTTACTCCTGTAAAAAGGATATCAAGATTGTAGTACACAGATCGCAGCTGGTGATCCTATTATCAAGCTGCAGACAGGTGCACAATATTACAGGCCCAGACATAATTATCAGTTGAATGCCAGCAAAGCATGTATTACTTCCAACTTTGGCTCTTTAAGGTACATTTTCATTTTAGCTCATTGTTTTCTTTGCAATAGTAGAGTGCTGCAGGGATGACGTTTCTTAGTAAGCCAACACGGAAGTTACCCTCGACAAAAAGCTAATGGGATATTTCCATTGGATTTGGGATTATCGCAGAATATAATCTCTGTGGCAAATAAACCATATTGCACGTTTTGTTCAGCAAAATAATCTAAACTGAATGCAATCACCAGAAGTAAAACGCTTTTTTAAGACACTTAAAAGCTTCCAAATTCACGAGTGGGGTATTTACTGATGCATTTTATATGTAGAGCAAAATTTAAATGTCTCGCTTGTGTTAACTTATTTCAGACATCTAACCAAAAACACATTCAAAATACCCATTGAATTTGAGTTGAGGAAAACGGAAGTTCAAAAATGATGACTCAGGTTTTAGGACTTCTTGCAGCACACTATTTGTGGTATTTTAAGCATTCTGACATGTTTAGGTTATTTGACTGTTGAAATTGTGAAACTGTAAAAGGTATACTATATTTTATACCTTGTCATATTTTACATACATGATTATGCTGCGTTGAATGTTGTCCTGTTTGTCCTGCACTATAAACTCACCGAGGCAAGATCCTAATAGCAGTTGTTGTTCTGGCAATAATGTTAACTCAACTGAACTGACAGCAATTAGTATAGGTAGTGTTAAAATGTCTGCAGCAATAAGTGATACATTATTGCCAACTTATCATGAGAGAATACTGTGGTATTATGTCTCAAGTGACTATATCACATTATATTTTTTATTGATTATTTGCTCCAACTAGAATCATCATCTTCATAATAATCATCCATGGCCTGACACAACAATGGGAGTTTAAGATGTGCTACTGCAAACATTTCACTTGTCATTTGAACACAAGCCACGGTTAAAAGGTTTATTCTTGAAAAGATCCAACAACTCATGCTTACCTTTCTTCCCAGAAACACCATTTGGCCCCCTGTATCCAAATGAACCTTGGCTTCCTTTGAATCCTTTCCTACCAGGGACTCCAGGAAACCCACCGGATCCATGTACACCTTTTTCACCAAGAGGGGCATCTACACCAGGAAGTCCTCTGGCTCCAGGGAAACCTGAGAAACAAATTGTTTAGGATTAACAAATATAGTTAGTATATAAAACAAACAAGAATTCCCCAGCATCAAAACCAACCATTTAAACATCAATGCACCCAGACAATTATGCAGAACCCAATAACCAAATTAAGTTACACTACTATCTTTCTTAATGCTGAAAATTGTGCTTTTTAGGGGTGTAGAAAATATTGATACGCTGGAGTATTGCGATATTATGTTTATTGATACTGTATTAATTCTCAAAATCATTGTATCATGTAAATTGAATCAAAAGTTTACATGCAATGATTTTAAAAAATGGTAATATATCCCCTTGTCTACAGTATTGCAATATATTGAATCGTAACCCCTGTATCACGATACGTATCGCATCGCCAGATTCTTGCCAAAACACAATGCTTCCCTCTATTTATTCTACAGCTACTGTGAGTTATATTCAAATACAGTTCCTACAGATAATGTGAACACTACTACAGGTCACAGCCATAGCATAAAATGTGTACCAAAAAGAGGAAAGGGGAGAGAGATTAAGCTCTGGTTCTTTTAACAATGGCCTTCTTTGATCCCACTGTATCTTCTCACCTTGGTACCCGTTAGGTCCTATAGAACCAGGGTCACCACTGCGTCCTGGTCTGTCTGGGGTCCCGCTTGGTCCTTCGGGGCCACGCAATCCTGGCAGTCCAGGTTGACCATGGTCACCTGAACAAGTAAAACATGGGATTGTTTCAAGTCTTAAGATGGTGAAACCCAATAACAACATATGTTATGTGTTGCCGTGCATCACTGGTTCTTTTATTGAGAGCTCAGCAGGTTTCTGAGTTGCCATATTAATGTAGAAAGAGTATGGAGTAATGGCTAACCTACAGGTCCTTGGAAGCCTTTCAAACCCGCTGTGCCAGGAACACCTGGCTGGCTGTTGGGGTCGCCAACCTCTCCCTTCTCTCCTTTGCTTCCTGGTTCCCCAGCTGGTCCAGTGGTATCCAGACCTGATTAAAATATGAACAGTAAACTTTTGTCTAACTCCTGAGGTCTTTACGTAACAGAAAAAATTAGAAATGGTTTCTACTGCACTTGATGTAGTGAAAAACGTAGAAATATACATTGATTGAGTTTACCAATTACAAAAGTGTTTAGTCATTACTGAAAGCATGGTTTATAACACTGGATATTAGTGACTAAATAAGCAGCAAATAAAGTTAAACAAACATACTTAGGTATTATTTCTTCAGAGTTTAACACTCAAGTACATGAGTACTGTATAGATGTGGTTTAATCAGATTTGATTGACAGTGACCGAACAAACCACCACCGCCAACAACTGTCGTCAGATTCAAATGTTGCTTAATCCAGATTGGAGCACAGAAGTATGTGACTTCACTATTTTCTAACAAAACCTGCCCCTGAGAAGAGTCCGTCTGAATACAGAAATCTCTCATGAGAAATAAGAAAAACACCTGTAACTTGCAGTACCGTGCAGACAATTGTACTGTTCATGTTGGAGCTCATTATTCATAGTACGAAGATGTCTGAGAAAATACCTTTTAGGGCCTTTAAACTGTACGTAATCTATATTAAACAGTATCTTTAAAAATGCACATAGAGATTGTTTTTATGCACTGGGTTGAATACCTGGTGTTCCTGGGATACCCTTTTGTCCTTTCAGTCCATGTAATCCATAAAGTCCCTTCAGGCCAGGGAAACCTGCACACATTTGCACAGTTCAGATGGAGGAACATGGTGGACAACAAGTATGTAGTTGAAAGAGAAAGAAAGAGAAGATGCTGGTCTGGTTATGTTACCTTTGCTTCCTGGGAAGCCAGGAAAACCGGGATGTCCATCTTTTCCAGAGGGTCCAGGAAAGCCTTTCAGACCTTGGTTACCAGGAGTTCCCTTTTGCCCATCAGAGCCTGCAGGAAACAAAAATGTTGTGTACAAGTTGCAATGTAATTCTGCCACAATGTCCAGTATACCATTAAATAAGGGACGTGAATGGGAGTCTCTTACCTGGGAACCCTCCTGTTCCTGGATCACCTGGCTCTCCCCTTTTCCCTTCGATTCCATCAAAACCAGATAAACCACCGTCTCCTATTTGTCCAATTAAACCTTTCTGGCCTGTAAAGGAGGTATCAAACATCTCATATCACCCACAAATGAGCCTCTAATTGTTCAGTGGTGCCAATCAACACCAGAAGAGAAGAAACAAAAGCTGTATGAACTCATGTTTGTACCTGGTTCTCCTGGAAGACCATGCTCTCCTCTCAATCCGGTGGTTCCTGGAAGGTCTATGCGCAGGCCTTTCTCACCTGTAATCAAAATTTTCATCACAATCACTTTATAATTAGTACCCAGATCTCCATCCGTCTGGAGTTTGAGTTTGAGGCGGTACCTTTGAGACCCCTCCTTCCTTTGTCTCCTGATGCTCCGTAGGCACCAGGACTTCCTTTAACTCCCTGAAAACAAATGCGCAATTTATAAGACTATATCATGTTTTTATGAGATGTTGCAATGAAAGAAATGTATTGAACATTTATTTGTAGCTACAAAACATTAAAGTGGCTCTTTAATGCAGAATAATCAACATGGACTGAGAGTATGGCTCTGCTCACCCTGTTGCCTTGCATTCCCTCAAAACCAGTAATTCCTCGATTTCCAGTTAGGCCGGGCATTCCTTTTATCCCAGACAACCCCTCTGCACCCGTATCTCCGTGGTAACCTTTCTTATTGCTGGGGTCTCCAGGAAGACCATGAGTTCCCCCGTAGCCCGGCACACCGGGCAAACCCTTAATACCTGTGGAACAGAGTAGGATGTGAGGAAGTGAGGCGTGAGAGGACAGAGGAGGTGAGAAGGAAAGAGTGACTGGTATCAGATTGTAGCTGCTCACCTCTCGGTCCGGTAAAACCTTGATTTCCATATTGTCCGTGGTCGCCCTTGGCTCCCTTCATGTCAACAATCATCTGGGCAGGGATGTGAGGGATATCCCCGGATGGCCCTCTCAAACCACGATCACCTGGCAGAGATGGTAAGTCAAACAGTTAATGAGGTGGTTTCACACACACAACAGACTCATTTTTATGACAGAACAGTCTCACCTTTCTCTCCACTTCGACCCTTCACTCCATTTACGCCAACTTGACCCAGAACTCCAGGTTCTCCGCCGAACCCACTGAAGCCCTTCACCCCTAGATTACCCCTGATCCCCTCAAAACCTGACATGCCGGGAGACCCTTTGTTTCCTGGGAAAGAGAGGGACCATCAGACGTCACTGAAAAAACGGACTCTTCTGACCAAATTGTGGACAAATCGTATAGGCTACATAGATTTGATGTGATATAATTGGATTACTGGATTATATTTTCAAAGTAAATATCTGAGAAACAAACCTTTTATTCCTGGAAGTCCTGGACGTCCATCTGCACCCGACTGTCCCACTTCACCTGATGGGCCAGGCTCTCCAACGACGCCATCATCACCGTAATTTCCCGGGCTGCCTTTTAATCCTATCGGACCTGGAGGGCCTGGGTCTCCTTCAGTTCCCCTCTCTCCAGTGAAACCTGGTGAGCAGGATGCCAGAAACGGGAACAGGGACATCAGACATGAACAAGAACATTTCTGAGGGAGAGTGTGTCGCTGTGCATGCTAACCTGGCTGTCCAGTACTCCCACGTGGGCCGGGTAGACCTGCTTGTCCAGGATCACCGGGGTAGCCGTACTTGCCTGCTGGCCCAGGTCTCCCCTCCTCCCCCTGCAGGCCTAGAGGGCCACTCTCACCCTTGAAGCCGATCATACCAGGCATGCCGGGTACTCCTGGAGGAATGGATGAATAAGAACTTTAGATAGTAGCTTATTCTTCCAAATGATGCCACTAACACTGGAAGTAAGGCAACAAGGCAAAGAGACAGGAATCTGAAATAGACTGTTATGTTTGAACATAAGTAAGTGACAGAGTGAGGGCATTGCTAACCTGGATAGCCAAATGGTCCTGGATCACCAATAGGGCCTTTATTCCCTTGAATCCCAGGCAATCCTGTGTCACCAAGTGGTCCTGACGATGCTCCAAAAATCTCTCCATGAACACCCTTCTCACCTTGCGCCCCGTACCGGCCTCTTACACCAGGCACACCAGGGGTTCCTACTGAACCTTTGCTGCCAGGAACCCCCAAGGCTCCACGGGGGCCGGAAAAACCTGTATTAGAAAAAAACTTAACGTTAATTGAAAAAAATTATCTGCACCAATCAAAGATCAGATCATCAATTCTATCGATCTGGCTACTGCCCCGTAAGTCGTTTCTTGTCACTTCTTACCTGGTGGTCCAGAACGGCCACCAAAGCCTTGATCTCCTGTTTCTCCTTTTTCTCCGACTGCTCCGAATGGACCCTGTGGTCCTTTTTGGCCCGGAGGACCTGTTGTTTCCCGAAATAAAAACAGGGCGTCAAAAATCACTCAAAGCAGGAGCCCTGAAGTCAACATTCAGCAATATTTTTTTGTTGTGTTACCTGGGAAACCTGGTAGTCCACTGGGTCCTGGAGGTCCAGGCAGCCCAGGTGGTCCAGGATAGGAATTGCAAGGACCTGAGAGTAAAATTGTCTTTAGGGCAACATCATGGCTGTATGTAAAAGTTTAAACTGTTTATGTGGAGTGTTTTTCCCGACATGGCATCTTCATTACATTAGCTGGTCTGTCATTACACGAAATCGCAAATTGTAAATAATTTAAAAATCGTCATGCACACAAGCCAAATAATCCAGAAGCAACAGCACAACAGAGTTGTTTCAAAGAGAGCAATATGGTGAAAACATTATTATACCAGCTACCTGTTACATCCACCTGTCCTCCATCTCCTGTTGGACTACAGCCGCCTTTCAGTTGCAGATGAGAGAGAATGAAAGAGACAGAGAGAGAGAGAGAGAGGGGCATTCGAAACAGGAGTTACTCAAAAGCACAAGCATTATCTCAAACAAGCTTCGCTGCAGCTTGTTTGAGGGATGCAGCCCCTGCATCAAGCTGACATCAAGAGGCGAAGAAAGAAAAGTAAATAAAATGGAAAAATATACTCGTCATGCTTCCTCCTTTTCTCACAAGCTATTAATGTTCATTCCCATTCCTCACTGCTTTTGCATATTAAGAGAGGAGAGGTAAAATGAAATACCTAGTAGAGTAAAAACTGGTCAAATATTTGTAAAGACAGTGACGGAGAAATATGCATCACCATATTGAGGTTGAATAAAAAGGACAGAAGGAGGCAGTCAGCCACCTCTCACCTGGGGTGCCAGGTGTTCCTGGAACTCCATGATAGCCTGCGAGGCCATCGTCACCAGGTAAACCGCGTTGGCCTTTGAGCCCTCCAAGGACTGTACCGTCGGTCCCAATTGTCCCGGGTGCACCAGTTCGACCAGGCCGACCTGGGAAACCTTTGTCTCCTACGACTCCTCTGGGACCTTCTCCCTGTTGACATCAACCAGCATCATCAGGGAAATGAGCAAAAAGAGATAATATCACTTTGAATATAACGCTAATATGAAACTGCCAATATGACTGGTGGACTCACTGGAAGACCTCGGCTCCCAGGGATACCAGGCAAACCATTTCGGCCTGGAGCACCCAACGCTCCTGGCTCACCGTCTCGCCCGTGATCCCCTTGATCTCCAGGATATCCTGCAGGGTACACAGACACACACACACACACACACACACACACACATACACATGCATAGACATACACATACAATCAGTACAGCATGCACAGACAAAGCAGAGGGATCACTGTCTGTTTTCTGGCCCACTTGACCAAAGGTGCTGATCTGAAATGAAACCAGGTACACTGCACCTTTCTGTGAGGCCACAGTCGCGTCCCCTTTTCGACCCCGCAGACCCGGCAGACCGCTGACCCCAGGAAATCCCTGTGAGACAGCACAACAAAAGTGTGAGGAAACAGAGAAGGGCTCAAAATGAACGACGGAAAAGAAAGAATGGAGATGGCTCGATTATTCTTACAGGCAACCCGTCGTCTCCTTGGGGACCTGGCTCGCCTACATCACCCTCCTGACCAAACTCTCCAGTCATCCCAGCATCACCACCATCACCAGCAGGGCCAGGTAGCCCCGGTGAAGAGTTTACCACAGCGCAGTCACACACCCCGTGATCACCTAAATGTACACAACATTGCACCCACAGGTCAGAAACATAGAGTGTTATAGAGTATATTAACATCAATTTAACTGATTCTCTTACTCAAAGAAAATTGAATGGAGGAGTAAGTACTTCAGAAATCTATATCTTTCTGTGTTATTAATCAAAAATATATCATAACAATCTTCCTCAGCATGAAACAGCACCTTTCCCTCCTTTAAAGCCTGCATTGCCGGGCCTTCCTCTCCCACCAGAAGCCCCTTTGAAGAACTCAGCCCCTAGAGACGAATAGAAATAGAGACAAATAGAATCACAGTAAAGGTATAGATTAGTATGAATAGTAACATTCGCTCACTCACTCGCTCATTCACTCATTCACTCACATGTTCCTTTGGGTCCTGGAGGGCCCCTGGCCCCCGGGCGCCCGCTGGAACCTGGGGGTCCAGCACCGTCAGCAGGGCGTCCTGGTTCCCCTGGTTGGCCTTTATCTCCTGGATCCCCCTTTATACCAAATGGCCCCATGAAATCCCAAACTGACAGATACAAAAGGAGATTAAAAGGAACATTGATGTTAAACTCCTGACTGCTCAGGTGATCAAAGGTTTGACTTATCTTGGAGAGCAGCAGTTGTGACCATGTTATATTGTGTCACATGTAAAGTAGCCTAAATGTTTTTTAAAAAAACGATATGTTGTAATGTTATCTTGTATGTTTCGTATTCATTTCAGTAATTGATGGTTTGTATAAAAAATAATCTGGACCGAACCTCATGTACCTTGTAGAGTGGGCAGTCTGAAATCTATCTGAGGTTTCTACTGGAATCTTCTACTAGAATCTTAAATTAATTTCAGGGTGATTCTATTTTAAGATCCACTTCACACATGCCTCATAGCCTCTTCTCCCTGTGTAGTGTTATAAGTAGGTAGTAGTAGTAGTAGTAGTCCACCTACCAGGTCTTTGTGATACTGAGGATGTTGTTTGGTTGACTCCACTATTTTACATATGACACTAAACATAATTTATTATGTAAGTTAATATTGTCATTATGTCTCTTATATCACACTGTACTTTTTCAAGTTTTTGTTGAGTTTCTTATTATGTGGGGCAAGAGTCTAAAGGTAAAGGGTGACATATGATGTACAGACTGACAACTTTGTGATTTTGTGATATGAATAAATTAAATTGACCTCAGACTGTAACCATTGGAAGTGTCATACAGGCTACTGGTCCCTTTACTTGTATGTGGATGAATCTCTTGGCATAGCTTCGGTTTACATACGTTGTTGCTGTGTTTCAGAGGCGGGGCGTCCCGGGGGTCCGGGGAACCCTTGGTCTCCAACCGAGCCCCTCTCTCCCTGCGGACCCTGCTCACCAGAAGGACCGGGAGGACCACCTTATCAAAGTCAAAGCATAATAAAAAAAAAACCATTCATTAGCATCTTATGCTCATAGATGACACTGCTTGTAATTGCTTTAATCCATTCGTATGTAGCTCTGTAACACATTATACATGAAGGATTATAAATAGTTCTCTCCTGTTATATCCTCATTTGAATACTGTAATAATAATAACATAGACAGTTCTGTTTGTTTCATACTTCTGGAATACAAACAAATAATATTCTGTTCTTCTCCTTTGAGAAATAATTGGAAGACAACTTCGCAAGGGTTCATTGCCACATTCGTTTTTTTCCCAATGTATTTACTCCTTAAAGTACCCACAACTTCTTTCTTGAACACTTCTGTTTTTGCACTGACAAGATAGTGTAGTGTAGGTCTGTTAAAGTTCAGTAATGTCAGTAAGTTCCCCACAGGGTTTCACTTTATGTCAGCAACTATTTTTCTCATAGGACATGTTATCACGTGTCAGGCAGTTGGTTTCATCTTCAAACTATTTCTCTTTTCTCTTGGCTGATTATTTGACAGTTTCTCTGGTATGAATCATCTTACCTGATGGAGACCAGGGCCAAAGGGATCCTGATGGTATCAGTTCCCCTGGGTCACCTCTGTCTCCCTGAAACACATTAACTTAATATCACTCTTTCAGTATTCAGAGGCTGCAGTTTCACTTGTCATTTTAATGACGGAGATCACATGCTGGATGTGCACACATGGCTTCAGAAATCACTGTGACACATATCCTGCTATTCTTTTATGTCTGTTTTATCTCTTGTTTTACTTTTAATTTCTGATTCTTGTGGCTGGATTAACACCCGCAAGGTTCAAGAAAGATTTTAATCAGATAATAATGTGAACAAAATGTTTTTGATCATTTTTTTAAAGAATAAAGGTGCAAAATAACATGTTAATTATGCCTTTTCCCCAGGATTATTGACAATATAAAACCGTATGTAGAACAACCCATTCAGGTTAGATTCCACTAACGGGATGCATAGATTCATGACCCCAGTTCAGGGATAATGATCGAGTGTATTCTCACCTTAGAACCATCTCTACCTGTTGTTCCTTGGTCGCCAGTATCCCCCTGAAAGACAGTTGTCATCATGAAGTGATAAAATCAAATTTAATTAGGTAACACAATAATGATGCAACATCCCTCATTTTTCACACATGCATACCCATGGTCCAGGACGCCCTTTTGCGCCAGAAAAACCCTAGAACGGCATAAACAGCACTTTATATTAATTTAACACACAGAGGACAGTTCGTTGGTGAAATGAGTAGAGATGTGCCTGTGCTCACCCGTGATCCAGCATTGCCCATCATACCAGTTTCTCCTTTGTTGTCAGCCTGAAATAAAGCAAAAGAAAAGATGAGCGGAGGGACTGACATGCTCAGACGGTAATGTTAATGTATGTATCCATGTGCATGATCGTTCATGAGTGATCACATACCAGATCTCCTAATTCTCCTTTCAGACCTTTCTCGCCATCAGGTCCCTAAAATAATGAAAGAGGAGGATATTATTGAAGCTTGTATCAGTGTCCGTACCATCGTCATATTTATGTGATTTACGCGAATATGTGAAATTCAGATTTCAGAGACCATCTTTGAACATTACAACAGGTTGATGAATAAAGACGAACATGTTGAACATGTACAGACCGAGGGGGCTTGAACTAGCTGACGAGTAGAGTTTCCTGGATCCCCTGGTGGTCCGATGTCCCCCTGTGGTGGAAGTAGGAAATGCAACAAAAGTCAGCAAGGACTGATGTGACTGACATTATTATATATGACAATATTAGATTGTTAATGCTGATGCTGGAATGTGTAAGAAGTTTAAAAGGGGAAATGTCTCTTTAGTGGAACAACTCAGATAACTGTGACAAGGGGCTCCCACACTGTTTTTTCTGTAATTTGTAAAAAGCAGAAATTAAATCTCAGATTTTGTCTTTAAAATTGTATTATATTCTATGAGTTTATCATATGTTTTTTCAATGAAAAATCATAGTGGACAATGTAGTGGAGTAAAAAGTGCAACATTTTCTACTGAAATATAGTGGAGGAGAAGTAGCCAGTGTTGGACAAGCTACTTTAAAAGATTAGCTTTGCTTGCTACCATTTACCTCACACGTGAAGAAGTTGAATTACAGTAAAGCTACCCTCGGGAGAGATCTAGTCTGGTCCACTAAAGTTACTTCGAACAAGTTCAAACTACTTTGAAAAAATGATCAAATTGACAATGTGATGCAAAATTATAAAAAAAAATAATTCAAAAAGTCACTCAATGGAGTTTACTGTATTTCAACGGCCCACTTGTTCTCAGGTCATACATAAAATGAAAAAAAATAAAATACCCCGCTAGAAATGTTTTAACTTGCACCTTCTTAGACCGTTTGATCGACTTGAGCAACGGGGTCTGTCGTCTTACGTGTATACGTTTTGTAACATCTGAGAATCTTAACAACTAAAACAGTCTTCAATTTGCTGAAGACGATGACACTGTCGCTGTGTGAGCACTGAGCAACGCCTGCACTTTTGCACATGCAGGCACTACACAGAGGATAAAGGCCAGGGGTCTCATTCATAAAACAGAGCGGAGGATCCACACTAAATGTTTGCGTACGTTCAAAGGAGGAAATGCACGTACGGCAAAACATATTCAGATTTTTAAAGCCTTGCGCAATTTCCTTTTATAAATTCCAAATGAACCTATAAATGTGCGCAGCTGGTTTGGCCTCACATCCCACCTTCTATTTGCCCACATTCAACCATAAATGGTCAATGCAAAGCACCTCATGAATGTTGATGCATTGAAATGAGCCTGCTGATCAGTGGGTCTTTGCGGTGTATTACGGAGACTACAGAGAGGAAGAACACTCATTCCCTCCTAATTCTTCCATTTACGCAGTAATAACAGTGCCAGAATATCCATCGTGCAGCAAAACACATCACCAGTGTCACCATAGTATGTACTGTATATGTTTACAGCAATCAGACTGATTGCTTCTAAAATGATCGAGACAATCGGTGGCATTGTGATTAGGACTGATAATGACGATATGGAGTGATCGTACGAGAGCTGTCACTGGCTTTTTTCCCAGACTTTGCTAATTAACAGGATCCCTATGTGCAGGTGGTGAATATTTGCCAGGTGAGGTGACTGGAGAAGGTGTGTGACATCAATGCAATTACTCCTCTGATCCAGTGAGCGCTGACACTCTCATCAGATAGCAGGTTTCAGTTTGTCTGTGTACAGCTGTATCTGTCACTATGGAATAAACCCTAAATGAATAAATAAAGTCGTGTTCACTGCAGCGATTTTTCTCACAGATGCTTAATGAAAACTCATATCGTACTTGGTGAAATATGCACAGTATGAGAAGATTATTGCTCTGTTCTGCAGATCTTTAATGCTAGTTGACTGTGTTTTACAGCTGGTGATAATTTCATGACCACGAGTGTCGGTAGTTCAGTCTCTCCTCTGCTTTGAGGAGAGCAGACAGCGCTGATAAAATGTATTGAAATGTGCTGTTATGTACAGTTATCTACACTTAGAAATTTTAGATTTATACATTTTTATATAAATCACTTTATAAATGAGACCCCAGGTGTGTTTGTAGTTTTAATAGTTAACTACACAAAAATGGCAAAAAAGTAATTTAACTACTCAAATCACTATGCAAATATGAATGTAGTTGAACAAACAGCAAGCTACTGCAAAATGTAGTTAAACTACTAGTATAACTACATGTAGTTCACCCCAACAGCAGAAGTGGCATTATATGAAAATACTCAAGTAAAGTAAAATGATCTCAAAACTGCACTTAAGCATAGTAGTTAAGTAAATATACTTCAATCATTGCATGGGAAAGTAAAGATGAAGAGCTCAAGCTGAAGTGAAATTAATTCAGGATGTTCTCTGCAGCAACAGCAAACCATTTTGTTGTCATGGCATTTGCGTTACAGAAATACGTAGACTTGACTGATATATATTAGTAATGAATAATACAAACACAGTCACTCACTTGCTCTCCTCTAAATCCCTTCAGCACATTGGTCATGTTGCCCTGCCCAGAAAAACAAAACAACACTTGAAGTTGCATTCCTAAAGGGAAGTTCCTGTTTGATAAGATTTCATGCAGTATTAATACATCACGTTTGTATTATACTACATTAAATATATATCATTGTTGCCTTACCTTTGGTCCACGAGGACCGGGAGGCCCTGGGGGACCCTAGAAGAAGACACAAACAGGATCCTAATATGCACTTTTCATCATGATAGATGGAGCTTTACAAACTAAAATTAAAATTAAATTAAAATGCACACACACACACACACACACACCTTCGGTCCTGCTATGCCCCTGGTACCCTGCCATCCTGGGATTCCTTGAGGCCCCTGACAAAAATCAGATAAAAAGGCAGAAGAAGAGAAATATTGCAGCAACAGAAATTTTTGTTGTGCCAAAATGACAGGAATAAACCATTGTCTGATCATGTCTCAATGAAAAGCATCGAATAGTTTGAATAATGTGTCTTACAAATATTCCGTTGAACCCTGGTGTGCCTGGGTCTCCCTGTGGAGGGATGGTCATAGATTCATGAGGTTAATGAGATATTAATATACATATATAATTTTGTTACAGCAATATCAAGTCACTTATGAAAAAGCCAGTTGTGGTGTTCACTTCTCTTCCTCACCCTGAAGCGCTTCATGTACACACTCATCTCCAGAGAGTCGCCCTTCTGTCCCTTCCAGCCTGGTTGTCCCTGAAGGAGGAAAACAAAAAGAGAGTCATTGATGGTCACTGAGAGGAAATCAAACACTATGTATTATATAAATCACTATCCAAGTGTGGAGTTGTACTTACAGGAAAACCAGGTGAGCCGTTATAGCCGTGTTGCCCCGGGAACCCCGATTCTCCCTGCGTCCCGTTACAGCCGTCTGCACCTGGCTTCCCCCTGGGCCCAGCTTGTCCTGGGTGGCCCTGCAGAGTGAACGGCAATTCAGAACAGAACAGTACGAACACATCGCAGGCAGAATCAATACAGTGAGCTGCTCTGGCATTCATCCAGACTGCTGGATAGACTTACAGGAATGCCATCGTTTCCAGAAAATCCAGGAACGCCGGTCATTCCCTGCGGAGCGACAAGAACCACAAATTAAACAAGAGAACAAACAAGAGTGTTGTGACTTCTAACAATTGGATTAAAAAGAGAAGGATATTTTACCACATTGCCTTTAGGACCTATGATGCCACTACGGCCATGGTCACCTTTTTGCCCCTTCGGTCCTTCGATCCCAAGATCACCTGGTCTCCCCGAAGGCCCCTGGGGGCCCTGAGGACCAAGAGTCCCAGGGGTACCCTGAGATTGGAGATGTAGAAAAAAAATGTCAACTTCATCTCAAGGATGCAATACACCAAATAAACTTTGCATTTCATCTGAATCAATTATCCATTGGTCTCCATTCATCAACAATGACATTGGTGTTAGGAGAGTAAACCCACCTGTTAAAAGATAGAGAAGAGAAGATTTGAAAAGTGTTTTCAACACAACCAAAGAATCCCAACAATGCAACAAGAAGTACGACAAATCATCAGTTCAATTTATTTCTCATATTTATCGGCTAATTCCCTCCCCATCTATAAATTTCAGTTTGTACTTTCCGATTGCATCACAAGGGGGAGACAGACGCCTTTGTTTCTAGTGAAATCCTCTGCTTCAGCACTCCATGCTCTCTACACCCATCCAGTGGTCAAACAGCATAAATGTCCCTGTCAGCTGAAAGATACAAACTGACTGCCAGACTCAGGTATATAAAAGTCAACAAAGCAATGCAACGAAATACATAAATGTGAACAAACAGAAACATCTCAAGAATACATTTTTAAGTCACAGAATTTCTTTTCATTTTGTTATGGACAGAATGAGCAGACACACATAACTTCTTCCACTCTTCTTTTAGATATTCTTGTTTTTAGAATCAGCTTGGCTAGTGGTAACAGATTAATCTGCATACTGAATTTATTTTCTCCTTTTTTTTCTTACACACAACTGAAAGATCATTTAAGACCCCAAACCACACATGTCATTCCAAGACATGCCAGATAGAGCAGTGAGAAGATGAAGTTCAGACTCTGCTGTCAAATATCTCCTCAATGAAAAAGACATTGGCCAAGCGAGCTTGAAAGGCAAAGCAAAGGGCTGTTTAAAGAAGATTTTGATTGCTGACTTTTTGAAACTACAGACAGCCCCCTAATCTGCAAGCTAAATATACCAATTTGATTATGATACTCAGAGTGATGAAAGAGAGAAGACAGGGACGCAGATAGGAAGCAGGAAAAATGTGAGTCTGGCCGTGGTGGAAGTATGTTTCTGTTCTCCAAACCGGACCTGATTTTTAAATATCTCATTTTTATCTCCTAATAGATAGATAGATTTGTAATGTGTCTGCAGACTTGGCAGTAAAGTATGTGTCCTCTCTTCACCTACGTCACCAGAATCGCTTCTGCATGTTGACAAGGAAAACAGGGAACAGAAACAAACACATGCCACAAAAGTGTAATGAATATTGAGGAGGTGGTCAGTGCCGTTGAGGTGTGTGACAACAAGGAGCTTCAACCAAAAGATCAGGTGCAACAGGTGCCTCAAACACAGACACATACAGCATATCTCAGTGTTGTGGGCGTCATTTACATCTGCGGGGGACTGGACAAGGCCAGGGGAGAGGCTCAAGGGGTGCTGAAATTATACAAGGGTTGGAGGGGTGGAAACAGAATAATATAATATACGCTTTTACAAGTGTTGAGGGTGAAGATACCATGGGAATTGGGCGTGTTTGCATGGTCCTGGAGTTCAGGGGGTCAGTAAGTGGTGAACTCTTTGGGGGCCTCACAGTGTTCCTGTGAGAACCAAAAAACAGAGTGATGTTGTTTTTCCCCCAGACACAAAAATGATCAGCGCCTTGTTAAATGAAGCTAGAGCCAAGGGGTCTCGAAGGAATTAATAAAACTACAAGGAGCCTAAACAATGTCAGACAACAATTCAAACAAGCTCACAGACAAATCAGATGCAGATAGCCAGAGATAAAGCCTCAATTGAACTCGGTGCTAACTGTGTGTGCAGTACATGCAGCCCGGGTGTGGGTGTGTGTGTGTGTGTGTGTGTGTGTGTGGTGGTCAGAGCTTTGTCTATGGGTGGCTTTTGAAACAGGAGGTGTGTGTTTTGTCTTCAATCTCAGCACTGCAGCTGTTGCTTAAAGAGTAGACAACAGTCCTGTCAAAACAACTCCAACCTCGCCTAAATAATGGGCAGCATGTCATACAGTGTATGCTGTGAATTTTTCCATAATTTACAGATGAGGACTGCTAAAGGACTGCACTGACTATTCGGTCACGATATGTTAACGTCAATGTAACTTGTCCACATTAGCGGTGGTACCAGAGCCTTAAGCACTACAGAGTTTTTATAGATAACCGAGATAAAACAGTGTGTGCCATTCGGCACGCAGTGTTTTTGAAAATGATTAAAGACAACATAGTCAGAACAAGTCATTTGCACTTGCTTGCCAAGATTATAGATGCGATTTGAAGCTAGGGTTGGTAATCTTGAGAAACTAGCGAGGGTACGCTAGATTAAAAAAATGATCCATCCGAAAAAACAAGTCCACTGTTTCCAACTCTTTTCCCATGAAAGTAACTAGCAGCAACAGCTCCAAAAGTTGCTTAATCCAGCAAGAAAGTTGCCAAGTCGGCAACACTGACAGCCCGTCCCTTCAGGCCTCCCTCCAAAGCCACTCCCCCCAAATTATCATTATGAACGTAAACAACGAGCATGGCTACTGTTAGTACTCAGACCTGTCAAGCTATCAGCTTGTGGAAGACTACGGTGTCGAGTGATGAGTGAACGGGCAGAATGCGAGCAGGCAGACAGGTAGCCTGTCCTGTCATTATATTCGGTGCTGAATGAAATGACTGGACCGGCTTATTACAGTCCTGCGACGGCCACAGATACCAGATTGTTTTGTCAGAGCTTTGGATACATTAATTGCTGTCAGGTTGAAATGAGAAGTTCAACAAAAATATGTTTGAAGATGGCAAATACTACATTCAAAGTTCAGATATCAAAATAAACTAACATTTGTTTCCTTAGCCATGAAATTTCATGTTCTTTATTGTTATGGTGAAAAAAAGCGCCTCAGGTACATGAGGGCAGGTGAACTCTACCAATACACACTTCCAGTTGTAAATCATTTATCCGAATAAAGAGGAAATGAATCAAGCCGACTAATTTTCTGAAGACAAATGGTTCTGTCAAAGTAATAAATTGCTATTTTTCACATAGAGAAAGAAGTGACACATAATAACAGCGGGGAGAAGCGGAGTGAGTCGTAATTGATGTGCATGTGTGTGTGTAAGTCCATAAGAGATCCCTGTGAGAAGCACTCGCATGGTACACTGGTCTTTATCTTTCTGCATGGCTTAAACAGAGAGCTGATTAATAGCAGTCTCCTTTCAAAGCTGATAACGGGGAGATGTTTTTAAATACATACCTGCATGTATGTGTGTGTGTGTGTATACTTGTAACACCAACACCTACATATGCTGTATCTACGGCACACAGAAATGAAAAGGTACAGCAGGAAACTGTTAAGCTAGTCCTGAAAAGCACATTTTTCACAGATATAACATCACAAGCACATAATGGGTCCATCATGAGTAACTTTGGTTCCCTCATTAAAGACAGAATGAGAAGGATTTTCCTAAAAAACAATGTATAGACTCAGAAAGATAATCTCCCTCAATCATAACTTGTGACCCACAACAAGTGTGTGGCGGTGTCTATACCTGCAGAGACCCTGCCCTCTGCCTGGGTCTTCTTATTTTGCTGTGTTCGGGACGTTTCTGGGCGATAACCTCTATGAAAACGTAGCGACCAGGTGCCAGATTGTCAGCACAAATCCAAGAAGAATCTACGAAAAATGGTGGACACATTGCCATAAAAAAAACATGTTCGTATCAACCAGCAAATCATGAAACATCTTTCAATATAATGTAGTCCAGTTCAACACCACTGCAAACTACAACCTAAATAATACACATGAGTTTAATTATTACCACTCTGACAGAGTCAAGTATCATCTTTTTAGAGGTAGAATTTATCTGTAAAAGTATATAAATATATCTAAATCAAACCGACCCTGTTTCATACAACAGCCTACTGTATTGTTCCATTAGCACTCTGAGTCTTCATCATTTCACTTTGCCTCATTTCTCTCCTGAGCTAAATCTCTCTCCAGTCCTCCCCGCTCCTTAATTACCAGTCCTCCACAGCTTCACTTCCTTCATACCTCCATACTCCCCATTCTTATCTGCTCCCACTACTTCCACTCAGCATTTCCTCCTCTCTCCAAATTCTTGAGTGCTCTCACATCCCCTTGCATCTCTTCTTACCCTCCTTTTTTTCTGCCTGTATTCTTTCGCTTCCCGTCTCTCCTCAGTGGAGATTGACCTACAAATCAGCCTGCCACAGACTACGTGGGGAGAGAGATGACAAAACAGCATTGTGGGAGGAATAAATTGTCAACTAGACCCTAAACAAACAAAAAAATAATGTGATACAGCAGGGACTGGATGAACATAGTGTAGAAACCACAAGACTGGTTGAGAAAAATAAGAAAGATAAGGCATTTCTTAACAGCGAAGTGTACTAAACTTCTGAACCTGTGTAAAAAGAGAACCGGAAATCTAGATCAGAGGAAGTTGAGGGCTCTTCAAATGTCTTGGATTCACTAAAGGACACTGAACACACAAATACATGCATGTCTGTATAGGTCCAGAGTTCCTCTCTGTCTTTGAAGGCCGGTCATGACTTTACCAGATCATGAAGCTCAGGAGACACGTGCTGCCCTCTGACTTTTCTCTGTAACTGTAGCTCCTTGTATGTTTCTTTCTGTCACAGTCAGCTCATGTCATACCTTCAGCCTTATGTCTCGTGAGCTTCATAATGGGATACGACGAGCCATCAATCAGCAGTTAAATCTACTGAGGTCACTGGGGGAATGAGATGGAAATCAAGGCTCCATGAGTTTTGAGGTGGTATTTTAGATGGTCAAGTCAAGTCAGTTTCATCAGTCAACATATGACATCTTCTGTCCTCAATTTGGAAGGAAAAACAAAACACTGCGTCCACTGAGTGTGTGTGTGTGTGTGTGTTAATATGACGGGGTTAGGTTAGACCTGCGTAGATGCATTTAAGCTGTGAGCTCACAGCAGTGAAACAGGCTCCAGACAGCAGTCTCTGATGTTGTAAGAAGTTGAGCATTTTAGAAGGTAACTTAATTTTCACACTGTTGATTATACAGT